ACTTTCTTTAAAAGTTCTTGGTACCAATATACACTCATTCGTTTCATAATAAAGCCCTCTATCAAACTTTGAATAGTAGCAAAGAAAAACTTAGAAATTCACATTTGCATGTCACTCTTTACGGCTGTCTTTTTTTATGTCAGACACAATTGAACATTTCCGTCCAATCTCCTATCTTTCGGTCTTTTTGACCTCTGCTGATCACTCAGTGACCAATCGCCCGCCTAAAATTGCTGATACCATCTATTAAGATGTATTTCAAACTTAGATTTTTTATTCTGTAAGTCTGATTAAATAAGTTAATGTCACTTTTGATGATTCCCACATATTGAAGCAACAAATGCATTACAACTCGTCGAACGATTTTTTCCCATTTCGACAATCCTTTGTTCAATTCAACAGAGTAATACAACAATGTTTATGATCACGAATACCAATGCCGTCATTTAATTTTCAATTTAAGACTAGAAAATGAGAAAATTGTGTCTTTTAAAAAAATTGGAGATTAGGTACTTTTTTAAAAGAATCTTTTTAAAGTGTTTGTCTTTTTCAGTCTAAAAGAAAATACACAGTAAAACGTGACATTCCGTTGTGACGCAGCGACACCTCTTATGCCATATGTTTTGAATATCTATAACATAAATTCAAATAAACATTATTAAATTAAAATTTCAATGTTGATTAGGTATATATTTGTGCATCTTTTGGTATATTGTATTTGATAATATGACGCCAAATATAAAAGATATGGACACTGTGACATTACTTTGGATCAACCCTCGTATATGACTTCTTTTTATATTCTTGCGAATGAAAATTCTGTTACTTGCGAATTAAAACTTTTTTTATGAATAAATATCATTGTGTAGATTTACAATATTAGAAATGTCTGTGACATCTTTCAATATCATTTTTGAATTTGCTTCAGGTGACGTGATGGGTCCCTCAATCAGTGGACTAGATTCGCTACTGAAGATGCCATATGGATGTGGGGAACAAAACATGCTGAACTTTGCCCCTAATATATTTGTACAGAAATACCTTAAAATAACAAGTAATCTCACACCAGACCTAGAAATGAAAGCTAAGGAATACATGATTAAAGGTAGGTTTGTCCTCACTTTTACCTATCACTAATTTAAATTTCAACGTTTAGACATTGTGACATGGTTAAAAGTCTATATTTTGTTAATTTCTGTTTATAAGGTTACCAGCGGGAAATGACGTATTCTCACGATGATGGGTCGTACAGTGCTTTTGGTAAAAGTGACAAGTCAGGCACCACTTGGTAAGATTCTAGAAAAGCTACTCTGCCTCTGTAGGTTAAACGAAATAATAAATTTTTCCTGTTAACATTAGTACATATTGATTGCAAGATTGGTCACTTAAATTTAAATCTTGTATATCATTACATATATCAATATTTAAGACTGTCGTCCAAAATACAAAAAAATATTCAAACTACCGTACATGATAATGATTTAGTCGATAATGTTTAAGGTTGACGGCTTTTGTTGTGAAGTCTTTCTCTCAGGCCACTGTCTTCATTACTATTGACGAGAATGTCGTAAAGAAAGCCGTGACTTGGCTCATCTCTCAGCAAAATGAAAATGGAACATTCAGAGAACCAGGCAGGGTCTTAAACAAGAAAATGCAGGTATAACGTAAAACATCTAAAGGCAACCTTTCTTTCTTAGTTTAAAAGATCATGGGAAATTGATATTAAAGTTTTTAAGACCTTGATAAACCACAATGACTGAACATTAAACTTTTTTCCTTTATTCAATGCAATTTTAACAATTCTAATATTTATTTATTATTTCAAAGGGTGGGTCAGCAGGAGGAGAGAGAGCCCTCACGGCTTTTACCCTGATCGCTCTCAAGGAAGCAGAGGTCATTCCAGGAGTAAGTTCATTACATACATATTGACAATTCGTGTTCATTAAATCAGTCAGTAAAGACATTTACCTTAAAACTTTTGATGTTTTTCAAATGATTTTTGACAATCATATCTAAATATAATTATTCAAGGTATTGTACGAGGGGTTATCAAAAAGTTCGCGAACTATCTCTATATTTGCAAAACCACAATTCAGATTAGAATGAAATTTGGCACACAGAGAGGCATTCACATTTTCTGTAGTTAGCATAAGTACTGACAATTTTTGCCCCAAGTTTTGTGACGTCACACGTGGAAATTACTCTGCAGAAGCAATTAATGATTTGTACACGGTTTATGAAGACAAAAGACGCTAGAAGTTAAGTCATTAACTCGATTGATTGTTTAAGTGAGGGAAGAGAGATGTTTAAAAATGATGTTTGTTCTGTCGCCCAGTGAAACTAAGTTCAGGGGAAGAGATGTGTCCTTTGTTAAGCATTTTGAAGTGAATGATCGCCAACTTACAATTTGAAAAATATTTGAATATCTTAACAATAATATAGTTATTGAATCTCGAAAATATCGTTTACTTTAGAGATTATACATATGAGATATGATAAGAAGAAGGCAATCATACTTTATCCACATTGATTAACAAGGCTCCAAAGACAGAGGACTTGGGATTTGTTGGTCACCTAAATGCTCATTCTTGAAAAGTATATTATCATCTAACCATACTATTGCCAAGATTGGGCCATTTCTGACAAATGGAGTGTTTTTGTTGTAAAAAATAACTTGCATGGTAAGAAATATGAGTCGGAAAAATCTTATTGCTTCTGTGATAGAACGCTAAGAAGCGTGTCACGTGACTCCATATTTCTTGATCAGTGCATGGGCAGAACGGATGCAGATGTGCATTAAAATCGGAGAATACTACTTTGAACAAATACCTACATTTAAAACCTATATCATTTCTTTTTGGAAGTTATTCAATTAGTTCGCGATTTTTTATAACCACTCCTACATCATTTTCATTGAATTCACATTGATCCTTTTTTTAACTGAAGGTATCTGAGCTTACAAGAAGAGCAATACAGAAAGCCAGTACTTACCTCGAAGATGATATAGATCTCCTGGACGATATTTACGAAATAGCTCTTGTTGGATACGCTCTTCAGATCACCAACTGCCCAAGAGTGAGCGAAGTGATCGATAAACTCAATACTAAAGCCACTGTCAAAGGTATGGTTAAATACTATGTTCTTCAGCTCAATTTTGACACAAAATCCTTTTTGAGGGCGATGTAACAAATTGACAGGGAATGCTTACTTCTCAGTAGCACTTGGTCCTACATCTGGTGATTTATTGCGACCGTGGTTGACCTGTATCTAATTTCTAATTACTGGACTTTTGAGCTTGATAAGTTCATTTTCTTCGAATGTCATGACAAATATACACTATATTATATCCTTACCTTTATCTTTTCTCATCAGATGGATTTAAATATTGGTCCAAACCATTTTTGAAAATATTTTTCTTTTGAAATGTTATGATAAATTTGTCTGTAAATGAAACCTTTATGATCACTTAGACTAAAATAAAGCAGAAGAAAGACTTCTGTATTATATACAATACAATATACAGTTTTATTTAAGAAATTATTTTTGTACAGGACGAAAATAATGTAATTTTGATTCAATCGAAGCAATTAAATAATTCTTTCGTTGCAAATATGAGCAACGGAAATTTAATAACGTTATTTATCTGTCTTTGAAATAGTTATTTAAAATTTCGCAACAACAAATTTCGACATCAAAGTTAAAGCTTATATTGCTTTAATGCATAGTAATTGTATATATGTAGCAGGGAATATTATGATTATAAATACTCATAACTTTTGCTATTTACATGTATACGAAAGCATATCGAAATAAAAAAAAATTTGGTCATTTCTCATCAAAGATTGTCCTTTTATAGGACACTATTATCGCTCTCCAAGGACTAGCAGAATTTTCTACCATGGTTTATAGTTCAAACCTCAACATGAAGGATATAGAGATAACAAACATGCGTGTGACATTGACCAGCAAAACTCCAGGGGCACCATTCAATCAGAAATTCACAATTACCCAGGACAGTACTCTTGTTCTACAAACAGCTGACGTATGTACTCGTATATTGCAAAATAAATCTTTATGATTTTAGTTTTTATATGAAATTATCGTCTCAATAATATCTTAAATTTAATTGTTATGCAAGGTAACCGTATTTTACTTCGCAAGTTTTATCTTTCCTTTTGAAACTTCATCTGAATATTTTTTGTAATTAAAAAAATCAACAGGAATATTCTCCTCTTAATTGTGATATTATATAGATGCAATGATTTAACTTTTGTTTATTTCTTACATCTCAGATTCCTGTAGGCGTTAAAAGGCTTGAAGTCAAAGGGGAGGGCTCTGGTATAGCACTAGCAGAGGTATGGGAAATACATGTATCATAACAGTAGACAATTACTATAGAAGTAGATTTGGATATATAATGAGTATTTATGTGTTGATTAATTAACAATGCTTTTGTAGATATCTACATATTTCAATACTGATGAAGAAATAGAAGTGTCTTCCTTTGATGTCAATGTTACACTTACTGACGAAACGACTAAAGGCTTCACGGTGAAAGTTTGTGGAAGGTATAATTTAATATTGTTATAATAATATACAACGTTAGTATTTCTTTAGTCAAGGTAACTGATGTATGAAGTGCAATTGTTTTATATTTTCCAAGATGGCTGAAAGAAGGCAATTCTGGAATGTCTATGATGGATATCGGAATACCCTCGGGAATGACCCCTGATTTGGATACACTCAATACATCTAAAGCTCCCATGTTTAAACGTATTGAAATGGGATACAGAAAATTATCCTTATATTTTGATGAGGTTAGTTTCCTGCTTTTCTTTATTCGTTTTGGAAAATAACTTGACACTAAACCTCTGATTTTGTTTTGAACATTTTACTAAGGGATTAGGCACAAGATCTAAAAAAGGATTTTCATTATGGAGCACTTTATGCATCCGTTAGAGAGTCAAGAGAATAATTAATGATTTTTCTTTACTAACTAGTTTGACAGACGGGCCCAGTGCGCTTCTGTTTACATGGCCAACACAGACAAAGTAGCTGAGAAGCAGCCCTCTGTCATTAAACTCTATGATTATTATGAACCCAGTAAGTAGTCATTTCAATTTGTAATAATTCAGATTTCTTTCACCTTCACCTTTAATAAAAAAATTTTAACTTATAATACCAAATGTTCTTTGACCAAAAAATGTATGTCTTTTTAAAAGATATCAAATTATGAAACCTTCCAAGAAAAATTACAAAAATACAAAATTGATTTTTTTGTATAAAATTTGTTTTATGTACAAATCGATATATAGTAAAAGTATTGCACATAGGTCTTTATTTAGGATTTTGGTTTGCCATCTTAAATAAAAAAAAACTAACAAATATTCTCTAAAATCCTTATTCAAAAAAGTAGAATAGTATCAAATGTAACTTTAAATATATTAATAATTTTGGTCTGTGCTTTTTTTTTTACAGAAAACCAGGCCACCACATTCTACACATCCAGAGTGTTGGCGGATTCAGGGGTCTGTGATGTGTGTGGCACTGAGTGCTTCTGTACTGCCAAGGTTAAACTCTTTATATGATCTGATTTAACAGTAAACAGGCATATCATTTGTAAAATATACATGACATTACTCTGTAGAGATAATTTATCGTGTAATTATCCATTATTAAAAAACATTTCAAAAATTTTTGTGTTTTTTTTTAATGACAATGTAAAAAGGAATTTAAATCTTATATTATTTTGTTTTATTTTTCAGCCTTGAAAATAAGGAATTCGACTACATTCCAGTTTTAATATTGGTGCTATCATGGAAATACTATAGGACACATCTACATGATATTAATTTCTCTTACGCTAAATCAGTGATAGAGTTTTACATTTAACTGTGACTGAGAAACAAGTACATTCTCTTCTCTACAAACTATTTGATAGTTCTGGTGTATTGCTCTGTGTTGTCTGTTACATATGACCTTATGTATGATGTTTATAGATTCAACTATAATAAAAATATTTTTGTAGTTTTGTGTTGGTGATCACAAATACTTATGTGTTAATTTTTAAACAAAATTAGCAAGTGATGAATAATTCATTAAACCTCATGTTTATCGAAGCTGTTTCTAAATATATTTTTAGCTCACCTGAGCCGAAGGCTCAAGTGAGCTTTTCTGATCACATTTTGTCCGTCGTCCGTCCGTCTGTCTGTCCGTCTGTAAACTTTTCACATTTTCGACTTCTTCTCAAGAACCACTGGGCCAATTTTGACCAAACTTGCTACAAAGCATCCTTGGGTGAAGGGGAATTTAAATTGTTAAAATGAAGGGACATATCCCCTCGCAAGGGGAGATAATCAAGGAAAGACAAAAACAGGGTGGGGTCATCAAAAAATCTTCTTCTCAAGAACCACTGGGCCAGTAAAGCTGAAACTTATGTGGAAGCGTCCTGGTATAGTGTAAATTCTAAATTGTTCACATCATGACCCCCGGGGGAAGGGCGGGGCCACAATGGGGAATCAAAGTTTTATATAGAAATATATAAGAAAAATCTTTGAAAATCTTCTTCTCAAGAACCACTGGGCCAGAAAAGCTGAAACTTATGTGGAAGCATCCTGGTATAGTGTAGATTCTAAATTGTTCACATCATGACCCCCGGGGGAAGGGCGGGGCCACAATTGGGTATCAAAGTTTTATATAGAAATATATAGGAAAAAACTTTGAAAATCTTCTTCTCATGAACCACTGGGCCAGTAAAGCTGAAACTTATGTGGAAGCGTCCTGGTATAGTGTAGATTCTAAATTGTTCAAATAATGACCCCCAGGGGAAGGGCGGGGCCACAATGGGGAATCAAAGTTTTATATAGAAATATATAGGAAAAATCTTTGAAAATCTTCTTCTCAAGAACCACTGGGCAAGAAAAGCTGAAACTTATGTGGAAGCATCCTGATATAGTGTAGATTCTAAATTGTTCAAATCATGACCCCCGGGGGAAGGGCGGGGCCACAATGGGGTATCAAAGTTTTACATAGAAATATATAGGAAAAATCTTTGAAAATCTTCTTCTCAAGAACTACTGGGCCAGAAAAGCTGAAACTTATATGGAAGCATCCTGGTATAGTGTGAATTCTAAATTGTTCACATCATGACCCCCGGGGGAAGGGCGGGGCCACAATTGGGTATCAAAGTTTTATATAGAAATATATAGGAAAAATCTTTGAAAATCTTCTTCTCAAGAACCGCTGGGCCAGAAAAGCTGAAACTTATATGGAAGCATCTTGGGGTAGTGTAGATTCTAAATTGTTCAAATCATGACCCCCAGGGGAAGGGCGGGGCCACAATGGGGAATCAAAGTTTTATATAGAAATATATAGGAAAAATCTTTGAAAATCTTCTTCTCAAGAACCACAGGGCAAGAAAAGCTGAAACTTATGTGGAAGCATCCTGATATAGTGTAGATTCTAAATTGTTCAAATCATGACCTCCGGGGGAAGGGCGGGCCACAATGGGGTATCAAAGTTTTACATAGAAATATATAGGAAAAATCTTTGAAAATCTTCTTCTCATGAACCACTGGGCCAGAAAAGCTGAAACTTATGTGGAAGCATCCTGGTATAATGTACATTCTAAATTGTTCACATCATGACCCCCGGGGGAAGGGCGGGGCCACAATGGGGAATCAAAGTTTTATGTAGAAATATATAGAAAAAATCTTTGAAAATCTTCTTCTCAAGAACCACTGGGCCAGAAAAAGTGAAGCTTATGTGGAAGCATTCTGGGGTAGTGTAAATTCTAAATTGTAGGAATCATGACCCCCGGGGGAAGGGCGGGGCCATTATAGGGAATTAAAGTTTTACATAGAAATATATAGGAAAAATCTTTGAAAATCTTCTCAGGAACCACTGGGCAAAAAAAGCTGAAACATATGTGCCCATGGAAGGATCATGGGGTAGTATAGATTTCAAAATGTCTAAATTATGATCAGTGGGGTAGGGTGGGGATGCATTATGTATAACAAGGGGGAAATCCGGTAAAGACCAGAATGGTCAAAGCTTCTCAGGTGAGCGATGTGGCCCATGGGCCTCTTGTTAGTGCATACTTTTGACAAAAGATTTAAAAGTGTTAAACATTAACAGTTTAACTGTTAAAATGTGGTAGCTTTCGACAATAAATAACGTTGTGTTACCTATCTCTTTCACCATACTTTTAATGTAAATGAGATCATATCGCCTATGTTATGAATTTGGAAGTTTCTGGTATATGAAATATAAAGAACAAAAATTAATCATGCTAAAAATACAGAAATCATGGACCTGTACAATATTAAAAAGTTAGATAAGGCGTCATGAAGTAATAAGCATCCCGAGAAGGGCGGACATACCTGCCGTGTGTTCCAAGTCATGATTGAGAAATTCCATATACAGCCCATGTGTAAATAATGGCTTAACAATAAATATGATAAATCTCAGTCAGCATTTGCCTAAATGACGGAATATATTTGCTGAGAGATTTATTGTATCGAACATAGAACTTGAGAAATCAGGAAATTACTCGCAACACTGTTGATATTCTTGTATCATCAATTTGTTTTTCAATAACGTGCCTTGTATAAGATGTTTTTGCATGTAGAGGAAGATATTGTGTATATGAAATTATGTGGAGATAACAAACATTATTCGAGCTGAAAACCAATTAAAAGTTGGAGCAGAGCAAACAATGACCTCCAAAACATCAGAGGTGGGATAAGGTGATATTGAAGAGTATTCCCTGCCAACCAGTCATTATTGCCGTGTGCTCCTTGTCGTGATCGGGAAATAACAGAAAAATCCATCCAGAATTAAGTGTATAAATAATGAAATAACAGTTAGTATGAAAAACATCTGTCAGCATTTGACTAAATGAAATTTTTTGCAATTGTTGACAGGTCATTGCATCGAGATTAGAACTTAGAAAATGATGAAATTAAAGAAGACTGCATATAATCTTGTTTCAGCAACTTGTTTGTCAAAAACTTGCCTCGTTTGAAAAATTGTTCACACGTGTGCATGCTCTTGTCAAGTCAAGTCAGTTGTCGAGTCAGCTGAGAGATATAAACACCGTATGCAGGTCAGGTGAAGTAGGTATATTGCTGCATAATACGGGATGTCTGTCTAATCAACTAGGAGACAGACCCCATTTTCGAAGTAGCATTACCTTGACATACTCGAATTAAAACAACGAAACGATAGATGCAATCATTGTGTTTCCGGCACGTTTATTGTGCAGTGTTGCAACCATTATTGAAATAACGACCACTATTGAAATAATGATATCAATAGTGGTTGAGAGTGCATTTCAATAGCAAACATAGTTAGTAACCATTATTGAAATACGTCCACTATTGAAATAATTATTTTATAGTGGTTGAGATTCATTTCAATATGATAACCATAGGTTTCAACCACTTTTGAAATACGATCAGTATTGGAGAAAAGTTTCACCACTTTTTTTTTTTTTAAATTACATTCTACAGAATCGAAAGCTTTTTCAAAGTCGAGAAATAATATTATCCCGCTTCAGACAAATTTGTCGATTGCTGATTGGGTAAAAGCTAATCACATGACGCCCTGAAATTTTCCGTATTACGTCTCCGTCGAGGCGTAATATGAAAATCGGGCACGCGATTCCGTTCGAAGCGTTGTTATTGTAAATAAAAATGGCGGCTAAGAAACGGTTAACGTAGGTAGGTTAGTTAAATTTCTTGTTACCGTAACGACATTTTATGTTGATTGTTATTGGATTAAAACTTAATATTTTCATAATATGCACAAATATTTTTTTTTATATTGAAAAAGGTCTTCAGCGGGATAAATTCGTTACACTATACAGTTATTGACTGGGTATGTCCTATGAGGACAACAAATTATTTGTTGGACCTGAAGGTGAAAATGTTGCCCGAGGCCGCAGGCCAAGGGCAACATTTTCATCTTCAGGTCCAACAAATCATATGTTGCCCGAATCCCAGTCTATAACTGTTTTGTTATACCCTTCACTGCTCACTTAAGATTGATCAATTTTATCAAAACACGCTAGACTATCAATTATTTTATATGGAAAATTATGGCTTCTTCAGTATATATAAAACATCAAGCTGAGAAAGAACAAAATCAATTATAAATCTATTATATCACAAAAAATACTTATCACAAAACATACTTTTCCCTTCTACCTTACCTTGCTGTTAGCAACAACTCTTAATAGCTCTTAACTTCGGCTATTTTCGCGTCGCCGATATTGAACGATGATTATTAATTGTGACGTAACAGACGAGTGACGTTGCGGTCTAACAATTCTAATGTAAGACCGGTCAATAGTGAAATTGTTAGACTGATGTAATAAACATTTCTTTTGTTGGACTTTTTATTAGCAATAATTATATAGAAGGATATTTATAAGGGTATAACAAAGTCAGTTAGTGACCTAATACGGATTCATACAGGGTGTGAAATGGAAATCCGTATTGGGACTCGGCTTCGCCTCGCCCAATACGGATTTCCATTTCACACCCTGTATGAATTCGTATTAGGTCACTAACTGACTGTGTAACTAATAATATGCCGTCTTTCTTCTCTGAATTACAACATTCAAAAATATCTAAGATTAGTCGAGCATTTTCACCAATGTATCTGCCTTTAACATAAGCCGTTTGATTTTTATTGATTGTATATGATAATATATTTTGTAACCTTTTAGCTAAAACACAAGCTATGATTTTATAATCCGTGTTTGTTAAGCTAATTGGTCTATAATTTTTGAACAATTGTTTTTCGCCTTTCTTGTGTATTAAAGATATCACAGACAGCTTTTTAGATTCAGACATTTCTTTTTGTTTAAAAATTTCTTACGTGCGTCATAAAAAATTGGCCCAATATTGTTCCAAAAACATTGGTAGAATTCACATGGTATACCATCTAAGCCAGGAGACTTTTCTCCTTTCATTTCAAGTACGGCATTTTTGCATTCTTCAAGTGTAGGGAATTCATCTAAC